GTCTCTGATGATCTTTCTTCATCAGGCTGGTGGTGTTGTTGCTCCAGCTGAGGTTGTTGTTCAGGTGCACACCCAAGTACTTGTAGCTGGAGACCACTTCCACCGCAGATCCTCTTATGTTCAGGGGGGTGTAGATGTTTTTGTTCCTTCTGAAGTCCACAATCATCTCCTTTGTCTTCTTCACACTGATGTGAATACAGTACGTAGTTCAGACCCGAATCTAATAAAATAATTGAGACATTGGAGACATTTATACTGAATAATGCATTAGTTAAACGCGTTTTATCACAGTGTATTTTTTAAATTTAATTTTGCGGGTTTGACGTCTGGAGAGCCTAAACTACATATCCCATCATGCATCGGGGCGTTTACCGGAAGCATCTACGTGTACACATTCGCGACGGTTCAGGAAGTAGGGTTGAGGAGGTTGTTGTTCTTTCCCGTGAAGGAATAAACAAAAAACAGGTAAACTTTTTTAAAATTAGTGAGTTTTTCATCCAGTAAAACATCATGGCGGCGTTTCTGTTCGTTTGTTGTTGACAAAGAAGCCAAAGTTTTTATGTCTTAGCCGTTAGCATCAAGCTACATGTTGTAAACAACAGCGTCACATCTATAAAAATAAATGTGTTAATATTTACCGTATGAAAAGAGTAATGCTGTTATAGTTGTATTTAACACGTTTTATTGCTGTATATGTATTTAGTGATTGATGTTTAGCTCTATTGTTCATGTTTTATCCTGTTTTTAAATCGTTTTTTGTTTCTTAGCAGTAATGTTGAAGAAATCCTGACGGAGAACAAGTGTTCAAACTGTTCCATTTGAAATTAGAAAGAACTAGTGAACTGGTTGGTAGTACGAACCACAACATGGGCGTGATCTACAACTTTACTTTGTTTTATGGAGTTACTGTCTTTAAACCACACATGTTTTACATATTACCACATTAAAAGCAGTGACAGTTTTATTAGCAGTACTTGTAAAAAACGAAGGCGTCCCATTTAAGATCTTGGATGCTTAAAGTTTATTTAGCCATTTATTGAAAATGTGAATTCCCATCATCAGCTCTGAACACGAGGCTTTGTGAGGTGACGGTTAAAGTCAGATGATTTCATGGGCTGTTCTGTTTTCCAGCGCCATGTTGCCGACCACCTCGCAGCACAGCAACGGCGCCCTCAGCGCCAGGGACGCCGCTCGCCACACGGCCGGCGCCAAGCGCTACAAGTACCTGCGGCGGCTGCTCCATTTCAGGCAGATGGACTTTGACTTTGCCTTGTGGCAGATGTTTTACCTGTTCACGTCGCCGCAGAGGGTCTACCGCAACTTCCACTACAGGAAGCAAACCAAGGACCAGTGGGCCCGGGACGATCCGGCCTTCCTGGTCCTGCTCAGCATCTGGCTGTGTGGTAATCTCATTCATTAATGGAATTGTTTGTGTGTAGGCGTTCGTCCGTCTGTGCTCATGTCGTCTTTGCTTGTTTTGTGCAGTGTCCACGATAGGTTTTGGTCTCGTGTTGGACATGGGGGCAGTGGAGACCCTGAAACTGCTGCTGTGGGTGGTCTTCGTGGACTGCATAGGGGTCGGTCTGCTCATATCAACCCTCATGTGGTGAGTTGGAGGTTTCCTCAGATGGCTGAACGCCTCCCAGTAAAGTCCAGGCTCATTTTTCTCCGCTCTCTCTCCCAGGTTTATCACTAACCGATATCTGCTGAAACATCCCAGCAGAAACTTTGACGTGGAGTGGGGCTACGCCTTTGATGTTCACCTCAACGCTTTCTACCCACTTCTAGTCATCCTGCACTTCCTGCAGCTTTTCTTTATTAACCGTGAGTTCGTCGTGGCTGAGCCCATTTCATGAAACCGTTGTTGGGTGCAGACAAGTCCAGTGTTTTTATTTCTGTTCCAGATGTGGTGGTGATAAATTCAAACTGGTTCCTGGGTTACTTTGTGGGGAACACTTTGTGGCTCATCGCGATCGGTTATTATCTCTACATCACCTTCTTGGGCTACAACAGTAGGTGTCGCACATTCCTGCTTCACATCGGTTAAGTTTGAACGCACGTCTGAGTTTTCTGTTTCCGTCCTCGCAGCTCTGCCCTTTCTGACGAACACCGCCGTGCTGCTCTACCCCTTCGCTCTGCTCGGCCTCCTCTACGTCCTGTCCGTCTCATTGGGCTGGAACTTCACCCAGGGTCTCTGCTGGTTTTATAAATACAGAGTCCAGTAAAAGAGGTTTGGGTTTGTGTGTTGGACGCAAATCGGCCCTGAGCCGACGTGAAACCTGTTTCTGGCTCTACATCGAAGTGATAAAGAATCCAGCTCCTGTTGGTGGACCGGGACCAGACTGACGCTGATCTGGTGGACTCTACTGTTGATCTGGATCCCCGGTCCATAAACTGAGACACGTTTGGTCCAGCTGCAGAAGCAAGGAGACGGATGGGACTTTTATCCAATATTCTTTTTGTAAATACTTTTTCTGAGGAGAACTTGAATTTGTTTGTTTTCATTAAGACAGAAAAGACTGAAAACCTGCTTATTGAGGAGAAGACGAAGTGGAGAAACGTGATGGATGTTCACTTCCAATAAAGGCTTTGATTAATTAAACAACCTCAGTTTGGATGTTCGCAAGTTATTTGTCAAGTGCCATAAAATGTACAGGAAGAAGAAGACGCAGAAGTTGAATGGAGTTAGGTGCGATGAAAGTGAGACCAGGAGGGAGTCATGAGGGTTGAGAGATTAGTGAGTTTTTGAGCTGCATGCATTCAGCTGGGACTGCTGCAAGATAAAGAATAAAGATAAACTCCTTGTGAAATTATTCTGCTGCAGATTATGACTTCATAACTCTGTTCATGTCTGTGATGCAGGTAAGACATTTTCTTCAGTGATGAGTGTTCAAACAGTCTGCCCTCACCAAACAACGTCTGTGTGTTGATGTTGGAAATGACTCCAGCCTCCTAATCAGAGTCGGTGTTGCCACATCGTTTAGCTCAGTAGCTGTGCAGCTGATTGAGTTATAGCTGTTTGGTCATTTGGCTGTGGCAGCCATGTTGAGTTGAACTGTAGAGCCACATCCAGGGCTTGTTTCCTGAAAGTTTCATTAAAAATCTGACCACTGGTTCAACTACTGCCACACCAAAGTGTAGGTCAAAACCTAATATTGACTGAGTTGTCAAGTTTGTTGTTTTTAGGTGGCCATCTTGAATGTGTTTGACTCTAAAAATTACTACTGGTTGCTTGTCATCCACTGGTTCATGAGATATTTTGCTAACAGAAGAACACAATGCCTTTGCCTGTGCCAGGTGATAAACTAAAAATTTTGTTTCTCGTTACTTCAGATACAGGTCAAAACTATTTTATTTAATATATACTTGATCCAAAATGCATCAAAGTGACTCAACTTCAGCAAATATTTTATAAATATTGTAAAATTTGACAATTTTTTGTTCAGTTCAGTCAATAACTTCCAAGCTGGAACTAACTTTAAAAATGTAGCTGTCGCACAAAAGATAATTCAAGTTCTGTTGTCGCTGACATCTATTGGTGGAATTGGGTACTGCACCTAGACGTGAGCATGCAGTGCGCATGACCAATTAAAACTTATAAGCTGCATGTGTGTATGGACACGAGAGGAAAAACAAGATAGTTGAAGACAACCAAGTGGAGAAAATGGACAATGTGGACAATTAACACCTCCTAAACGTTTGGTCAGAAGGTGCACACGGTATGTTTACATATTTTATGTTTGTTTATATGTTTAATGTGGTTATAAAAGAGCTTCTCAGCGTGACGTCAGCAGAAGTAAGGAGCACCTTCAGGAGGATTAATCCTCACAAAGCAACTGGCCCAGACAACATCCCCGGAAGATGTTGAAGGAATGTGCTGATCAGCTCTGTGAGGTGCTGGCAGACATCTTTAACACCTCACTTACCCTGGAGACAGTTCCCACCTGCCTGAAGACTGCCACCATCATCCCAGTACCAAAGAGCTCTACAGTGACTGGTCTGAATGACTATCGGCCAGTGGCCCTCACCCCGATAGTCGCTAAATGCTTCGAAAAACTGGTCATGACTCACATCAGAACAACCATCAACATCAACGAGGACCCTCATCAGTACGCATACGGTGAGAACCGATCAACAGAGGATGCCATCTCCTCTGTGGTCCACACTGCACTCACCCACCTGGAGCAGAAAAACTCTTACGTCCGTATGCTCTTTGTGGACTTCACATCCGCCTTCAACACCATGATCCCCCAAACCCTGATGGACAAACTATCCACACTAGGACTAAGCCCCTCCATTTGCAACTGGGTACTAGACTTCTTAACAAACGGACCACAGTTAGTGAGGATCCACAACCTCTCCTCCTCCACCATAACCTTCAGCACTGGCTCTCCTCAGGGATGTGTGTTGAGCCCCCTCCTGTTTACTCTGCTCACGTATGATTGTGCAGCTACCCATCCAGGCTGTCACATTGTAAAGTTTGCAGATGATACAGCGGTGGTGGGATGCATCACAAACAATGATGAGTCCAGCTACAGGCAGGAGGTGGAACACCTGGAGAGCTGGTACAAAGAGAATAACCTTCACATCAATGTGAAGAAGACGAAGGAGATGATTGTGGACTTCAGAAGGAACAAAAACACCTATACCCCCCTGAACATAAGAGGATCTGCGGTGGAAGTGGTCTCCAGCTGCAAGTACTTGGGTGTGCACCTGAACCACAACCTCATCTGGAGCAACAACACCACCAGCCTGATGAAGAAAGATCATCAGAGAC